TTTTTTGGGGTCCTTATAATAAAATTGGGGGTACCTTATTTTGGGGGCCCTTAGAGTAAGGATCCTACTACTTAGGGTGCTCTATTAGGGTCCCCTATTTTCGGAAACCCCCAAGCCTCCAACCCCAAAGCACTACCCTTCTTGGGTCCTAAGGGGCAAATATGAGGGGTACTTGGGTTTGTACAGTAGTTTTGTAGGCCAGTATTCTGGAGAGTATGTGATTCTTAGGTACTTAGACACTTAGGGCTAGGTTTTCGAGTCCTCCACAAACCTGTCTCGAACCGAAACCTTGCATCCCGAGTGCTTGCTAGATCCTTCAAAATGCAACTATCACGCGCTGTGAAGCCTAAACCCTCAAATCCCAAACCCTAAACCCATAAACCCCATAAGCCCTAAACCCCCAAACCCCTAAAGCCTAAAGCCCTCAAGCCCTAAAGCCCTAAACCCTTTTACCAAAAACCTAAGCCCCTAAACCCTAAGCTGTATCGCTCTGGGGGCCGAGAGGAGCCGGTCCTCTTCGCCACCAGCGTGCGCGAGAACATCCTGCAAGGCAGCAGTGGTGCGTCCGAAGAGGACGGTGTGGGTTTGGGTTTGGGGTCTAGGGCTTGGGGGTTTCGGGTTTGGAGGAGGGCAGCTTGGGTTTGGGGTTTAGAGGAGGATAATTAGTGTGGGTGTGCTATAGAGGCCGGAATAGGGTTGTACAGGGTTCGGAAGGGTGCCAAGCAGGCTTTATAGGGTGTAGTAATCTAGTAGGATTTCAAGCTTAGTGGAGAGTTCAGGTTTTAGGATTGGCTTCAGCTCTTACTCAAACTTCACCTTGAAGCCCACACCCTAAAGCCCGGTTTGGACGGTAAACCCGGAACATATCAGAGAAGCCCCGGACGGTCGCGAGAGCAATGCTTTACATCCAGGACTTCGAGGCAGCTGCCAAGCAGGCCATTAGGGGTTTAGGGTTTAGGGTTTAGGGCTTAGGGTTTAGGGTTTAGGGAGTTGCCTCGCCGTGTTCTTGTTTTCTCGGTACTCGTTTGGCTAGGTTTGACAGTGTTGAATTGCAGTCGGTTTCTGCTAGTGTTTCCAGGGCTAGCATACAGATCCTGTTCGGCAGGATGCATTTTGAGGCTTTGCAGCGTGCAGTTTATGGCCAGGTTGGCAAAAGCCGATTTATGATTCACCGGTGCGAGTTCAAACAATTTGAACTTGTTCGACCAGTGTCGTTGCATTGCAAGAAAGCAATTTCGACCCAGGCTTGAAGCCACTTGCAAAGTAAGCCTCCTATAGCTCACGTTTCGGTTGAGAGTTTGGGAATGCCACAGACGATAATGCACACGCTTTTTTGGGGAACCCACCTGTAGCTGAACTGCACAAGCCTTCATTTAAAGCCTGATAAGCAGAGGCCTCCTCAACATTAGCATAACTTATGCTATTGCAAGCTGCACCCAACGTCTCGTCTTGTTCTTCTCCTTCGCCGCGGTCTTTTCCACGACCGCAACGGCTGAGAGCGCTGCCACCTGTCCCAGAATGACAATGCAGAGCTTGCTTTAAGCCTGAGCCGTTCAATCCAAGGCAGAGTCCTCAAGTTTCGCCGGCACCCCAAAGCCTAAAGCCTAAAGCCTCGACCCTAGACCCGAACTCCCAAGCCCTAAGCCCTGTACAACTCTATGAAGCCGTATAAAACCGCATAGAACCCTATAACTCACTTTAACACCTTATACAATCCTATAGCGCACTAGAAAGCCCCTTATCAAACCCTACTTGGAGGTTCATGGGTAGTTATAACTGGGGTTATAAGTCCCCTAAGTAGGGTTAGAAGTATAGTTACCCTACTTATAACCCCAATTTATCACTACCCATGAACCTTCAAGTACAGAACCCTAACCAGCGTCCAGGCGCAGCTGGACTTCGTGCGAGGGCTGCCCAAGGGCTTCGACACCTACGTGGGCTCCGGTGGGTGCGGGCATCAGGGTTTAGGGCTTCATGGTTTTGGGTTTATATAGGGGTTTGGAGTTTATTGTTTAGAGTTGAGGGTTTTTTGTGTTTGGAAAGCTGTAGTATACTTTAAAAGGGTCTGAACACAATAGGATCTGGGACAGCAGGTGGCATGCAAGAGCTATTTGGGGTCCGTGCTGGCATAGTTGCTGGTATAATTGATGGCAGTTAGGTTTTGGGGTTAGGGTGCACCCAAAGCCCCCAAAACTTTAAGCCTTAGTCTGGGGTGTTGGCTTGGTTTAGGCCAGGTCTCAGGCCCTGAAGCCCCAAGCCTCAAACCACTGATTTCGCCCCAGCCGGCCTGCTTAATCCTGCACTCTCAGGCTCCGAGCGGGAGACCCAAGCCCGACGTCGTAGGCTTGGGTTGGGATTCGGGTTCAGGGTTTAGGGTTTAGCCCCTTAGGGGAAATCTCAAGCCCTAGGGAAACCGTCCCCAACTCTAAATCATAATTACCAGCCAGGATCCTGAACCGCATTTCAACCCTTGCATTCGCCGAAGCTTTGAAATCCCTAAACCCCCCTAAACCCTAAACCCTAAACATCCCTAAACCCCAAGCTCAGGTCGCAGTTCTCCGGTGGGCAGAAGCAGCGCATCGCCATCGCCAGAGCGCTGCTCAAGAAGCCTTCGCTGCTGTTCCTGGCGCCTGCCCTAGAAGACAAACGACTTTAGGGTGTAGGGTTTAGGGTTTAGGAGTCTGGAGAATATGTATGTAATGCTTGTCCTGAGGGTTTCTCAATACGTCTGAAGAATTTGGAACACTATTCCTCAAGAGTTTCTGATTCTGAATATAACACCATGGAACACCGACATCCTCACTTACATTTTCCTTCAAGTTCCGTAAACTAAGTACAGTGCAGAAGCCCCTCCAAAACCCTACTTCCTAAACCCCACATCCGAAACCCCGAAACCCTAAACCCGAAATCCAGTTTATCTAAATATCGAGGCTTCTCTGCTAGGTCCACAGGTGGTTGAAGTCCGAAAAGAGCCTTTGCAGGAACCCTATTACGAAGCCTTGAAGGACGGCCCCTTACCTAAACTGCAGCCCCAAGACGAATCCTGACAGGAGCGCCTAAACCCTAAAAAAAAAACCCTAAACCCTAAACCCTAAACCAACCTTCAAGCCCTACTCAGGACGAGGCCACGAGTGCCTTGGACAGCCGCTCCGAGAAGATGATCCAACGAACCATTGACAGCCTGGGGAAGACGCGGCTCTGCGGGAAAGAGGGCACTTTTGAGGTTTAGTCGGGTTTAGGATTTGGGATTTCGGGTGCGGGTTTGGGATGTAGTGCAGTATGTTGGGTTTAGGGCAAGGTTCGGGTTTGGGTTCTAGGGTGGAGGGTTTTCGGGTTTGTTGACCAGAAGGATTGAGTTTATGGCGGGAGAGTTGTAAAAAGGTTGCGGGGTTAGGTTGGGTTCAGGATGTTTGAATCGGTTCTCCTTCACTCATATGTTTGTCCTTTATATGATTCAGCTCTGTACTGCTTAGTTAAGCGATATTTGGCAGAGGGTCTGCGGGAGTAAGGCTAAGGAGTGGTGTCCTGGGGGTTTACAGTCTAGAGCGCAGGGGTTCAGCAAAAGGGGGTTTATAGGGGTGTCCCCGAAACCAGAAAAGGACTCCCAAGCCAGGCCCCCCCCTTGTACCTAGCGCGCGCGGGACGGCTTTAGAGTTGCAGCTTCGAGTTTAAACCTGCCACGCCCCTGGATAATGTAGGGGCCTCAATAATTAAAATAGGGTTTTGGGGGTTCCTTTGTATAATTATAGTATACAATACCCCCAAACCCTATTCTAATTATTAAGGCCCCTCTTTTAAACCCTGAAACCCGAAACCCCTAAAACCCTAAACCCTAAACCCTAAACCCCAAACCCTAAACCCTAAACCCTAAACCCTAAACCTTGTCGGAGCCATCGCAAGCAAAGGACGGCCGGCAAGATGACCATCGTCAGCATCGCCCATCGCTTGAGCACAGTGCCCTGGTCGGTTAGCACCATGAGGGGCTTAGGGTTTAGGGTTTAGGAGGATTCAGAGAAGAGCAGTCAGAAGAAGATAAATGAAGAAGATGAGGGTCTTGGAAGCAGGTGTCTTTTGTGTCGAAGATGATTGAGATGATGCATTGCCATGACAGGCATATGTTCTTCAACATATGACAGGCTTTCGGGCCAGAGAAAGTCTCTCAGACTCTCCTCAATCCTCAACCCTAGGCCCTAGACCCAACCTTTCAGGTGCAGAACTCCGATATCATCTTCGTGCTGTCTGGTGGACGAGCTGCCCGGCCAATCCAGTCACCTATGCTGATAACACTTTCTATGATTGGGACTGGCCACAGCCTCAAAGTTAAACCTTAGGCCAGAATACTTCGTGTTTAAAGAGTTTCTTAAGTCAGTACGTGGGCTATCACTGCATGCATTTGGCTCTTCTTCACCTCCCGCCTCAAACTCGCCCGCTGTGCTTCTATTCGCAGGGCTTCGGGAAGTGCTTAAGCCCAATACCTTATGGAACCCCTCAACATCTTTGTAGAGCCGGTGAAGAACCAACATGTCTTATAGTAAGCCCGCGAAAGGTTGGAAAAAAGGAATAAGGACAATCAGTGCTGGGATTCCCTTTCCATTAGTCTTAAGGATTGAGGCTATTGGGTTTCCAACTTTTGGGCTTCTACTGGAATGCAAAATGCAAGACGCATTGGCAGGTCGCCGAGAAGGGCTCACACAGCGAGTTGACGGCGCAGGAGCCCTTCGTGCGGTGGCATGTCCGTAGCTGCCGCAGATGGCAATGTATTCGTTTATAGCTACTGTTATTATTATTGCTACTATGACGACTATTCTTGCGACGCTTACTATTACTATTACCGGGTTCGCAGCTGTTTCAGTTACCCTAATCAGCATCGAATATTGTAGCGTTATGTTACGTTAGGACCCACGACCAGAACGCAACGACCCTGAAAAGGCCTGCTGCTGCCGTACTGTTGATGATATAAATCCTGCATTACCTTAAGGACCCTAAACTATGGGAATTATGGTATATTCCTTATTATGGGTAAGGCAGGATCTATAGCATCAACCGTATCACTGGCCGTCTAAGCAGGCCCCGTCTTTTCAAGCCGGGTTCTGATTAACACCCTCAAGCCCGGAGACTCGACCACGCTAAATCCTAAAACTGTGGGGCAAGTCTACTTGGAGGTTCACGGGTAGTTATAATTCAATAGTGGGGGTTGTAAGTCCCCGAAGTAGATTTGTAAGTAAAGTAATCCTACTTATAACCCTACTTATACCTAAACCCCTAAACCCCTAAACCCTAAACCCCCAAACCCCTAAACCCCTAAACCCCTAAACCCTAAACCCTAACCCCTAGACCCCTTAACCCTAACCCCTAAGCCCTACTTACAACTACCCATGAAACCTCCAAGTAGCTCGCCCGGAACCCGCGAGGAGGGTGGCATCTACCAAGCTCTGGCAGCGGCCCAGGGAGCAGTCCTGGCTCATCAGGACATCCTGAATCCGAGACACCAAAGCCCGGGTTTAGGGTTTAGGGTTTAGGGGTTTAAGGGTTTAGGGTTCAGGGTTTAGGGGTTTAGGGGTTGAGGGTTTAGGGTTTAGGGTTCACCTAAACCCGAAATCCTCGACTCAAAACCCTCAACCCCAAACCCCTACTTCTCAGATTCGGGTGTGACGGGGTTTACTTTGGGGAGTGAAAGGTTCAGCTAAGGATTTGGTTGCGTGGGCCCTAAACCCTAAACCCTCAACCCTCAACCCTAAACCTCAAACCCATGGTTTAGGGGTTCAGGGCAAGGTTTCGAGACTTGACGTGGTCTTTCTTGGGGATCCTCTTTGCAACCCTGAACCCTAAACCATGGGTTTGGGGGGTTTCGTCAGCTTTCAAAAGGTCGCCCCCCCTTAGTTAGGAAGCATCCCTTTCTTCCTTCCTGCCGAAAAAGTATCCAGCTGAAGGTTTCAGCAAACGTCAGGTCGATACAGGGTCTGCA